TTTGCTAATGCTTAATTATTCATAGTGTACAGTTATAAAGTTCTACCGATTTAGTTTTTTATTGATGAACAATTGATGATGATTTGTACCTAAAAGGCTGCTGCCAATAGCTTTTTTAGGCTGATGCAATAATTGCCTTCATTCAGGCAGGCTTCTGTCACTGCTTCTGTCAGGCAGGCTTCCGTCCCTTTTGGTTTGCTTAGGAAATGGTCACAGGCAGATTCCCCATTCTCATCTTCTTCGATATCCATTCAAAGCATTTGATCTAAAATCATACCATGTTTATATATTTGGTAGCTATTCTCTTTTTGGGGATGGTATTTCAACAATTTTCACAGACCTTCAATTTGAATGCCATCAAGTGACTTTCCCTGGAGGATTCCAAGACAGCCTTTGTCCACTGCAAAGATCAGCTTGGAAATTCTTGCGAGCTGAACTGTTGCTTCAGGGAGTCTGTAGTTATCACGGTGGACACATATATCATGTCCCAGGATGTCAGCTACCTGATCAAGTTCATTGTGTATAAGATTTAATATTTGTGACAGGGTTGCGATGTGTTTCCTTAGCTGTGTTGAGCGCAGATATTCTGTTTTTTCATAATTTGTGTCTCAACCAGTCTTGACCATTGTAGTGTGTGAAACATTTTGGCCTGGGGAAGAGATAGACATTTGTTTCCTCTACACCACATTGCATTCTGTTGTTAATTAGCTGGTTCAAGGATTAAACCATGTCGGGTGTTAGAAGAACAGCAACTTTTTGTTCAAACTTGCCTCGGATTTCAATATGTGAAAAGTGTTTGCAGAGCTTTTTTTCAAATTGGGAAAGTCCTAAAGACACGTCATTGAGAAGTGGTTTGTATCTCTGTGAGTAAAGTTCTCCAAACGTATTTTGGACACCTCCCCCGCACGCCATCAATTAAAAACTATTATCTGCAATAGTGGCTTTCGCAAGATCAGCATATTTTTTACGGAGATGACTTCTGGCTCAGTTTGTCAGAGGTAACTGTTGCAGCCTGTTCCAGGTGAGTGTGAAGAAGCTGTACGTCTTGTGTGAAGGGTAAAGCTGATGGTCTGTTGAACTTTTTTCTCACTGTGTGTGTTTAAGGTGAAGTGTGAAACAAGTTCACACCATCTAGAACCATTTAGGCCCCGTTTACACTAGTGCATTTTAGTTTTAAAACGGCGTTGTAGAATGAAAACGATCCGCGTCCACACTCGCGTTTTACCCAGCGTTTCTGAACTGCTCTCCGTCCACACCAAAACGCTGAAAACGCACATCACGTGACCACACACACACTCTCGGGCAAGCACTCCAGCATTTCTACCCAGATGAAAGCTCTGCTTGTCGGACTGCTCATCAAGCATCTCCCGCTGGATCTAATCTCACTATATTTGCTAAACGTGATATTTCATTCATGTTGTTGTCTTTATCTAACGACAAAGGCCAATTCCCTGACTTTGGTCATTGGAATCTATTAAGTTACTTGTTCACGGGTAACATGTTTTGGTTAAGCGCAAAGATAAGTTAATGATTAATCCAGGTACATTGACTGATCGCTTGCCTTTATTTCCTACAATGTATAAACTTATTATATGTTATACTTTTATAATTGTCAATTATTAAAACTTATATTCAGTAAAAGAGAGGGTATGTTTCGTATTTTCACTGAAATTAAAAGGAGGCAGTTGTTATAAATATCCACACAGTGAAGATGACGCTCATATATGCAGCACGGCGCCTCATAATTTCTGCTGTCTGTTAAGTTGCTAATATTAAAAAGAAAATAGGCAGTTCCTTAAATCATGTTTACATTTTATTGTTGAGAAAGTGAAACAACGTAGCCAAGGTGATGTGAATGAAGTTATAAAGTACACTGTTCCCTTTGAAGATTTACCCTTGTCCTCGGTATGTTTTCCATATCAAACTGAGAAGGGGGAGACTGCAGCCTTGATCAAACTTGCGAACTTAACTTACAAGTAGAGGATGCGAGACTGAACTGTGTGTGGGCTACTTAATATTGAGGAAAAGCCCCAATCAGATAGGCGAACGTTTGCAGCCCCGCCTCCGTTTTCAGATGTCTCCGTCTTTCCCCATTCACACTGAGACGGAGCAGCAGCGTTTTAGAATGAAAACGGCCTCTCCAGCGTTTTCAAAAAGCTCCGTTTTCGGCGCTCGAGAACTCCGGCGTAGTGTGGACGGATGGCGTAACCGTAGCAAAACTTATGCGTTTTCAAACTAAAACGCACTAGTGTAAACGGGGCCTTAGAGACTTCAGTTGATTTGATCAAGTCCTCATTTTCTGTCATCAGAGCCCTGCAGTGAATGATAGCTGCAATTTTCTGCAAAGAATGCCCTATTTTGAGCGCTAGACTTGGTGCTGTGTAGGTGTGATTTTCTTCGTCAAAATCAGACACTTTTTTCCCAGCTTTACAACTTAGTGAAAATTTGCTGGCTTTACAGTTTCTTCAATGGTGATATGAAGTCAGTATGTAAAGCCAACAAGACACGTACAATGTCATTACGGACAACTGACTCATCCTGCCTAATGGGGTCCAAGAAGCTTCCAAACACACTAACAGAAATTTTCAGAGAACACAGACTCCGCAGCTTATAAGCTCAAGCCTTTGCCCCTTGTAGGCTCGCCTGAGGTTCTTTTTGGCATCTGCGAGTGTGTCGCCACAACTTTTTGTGGGAAAATATCTCTTTGCAATAGATGCAGTTAATAAATTTTGACTGCTTAGAATTTTGACTGATTTTAATTTGACTTGCCCTGTTCCACTTTTTATTGTGCTCGAAGTTACCACGATTCTGTTACATTCAAATGTTGTACAACATTCTGTATAATAATAATATTAACAACATCGAACAAAATAACAGAACAAGCAAAAGTTATTCTTCAACTGGAAAACAGAATTATGGATGCAGAGCAATACAAATGAAGATGGTGTCTATGTCTTTACAGGAAATGGAAAATAAAATGTAAGGTAATGGAGATATGTAAAGAAATGATGCCTGAGAGGGCAGCTAGGATGAATGGAGTAGTGCAGTGGTTCCCAACCTTTTTCTTGGGGGCCCCCCCCATGAACATATACAAACATTGGAGCCCCCCCACCATATAAATACACACGCACGCACACACATATGTACTGTATATGTATATATATATATATATATATATATATATATATATATATATATATATATATATATATATATATATTCGTGTGTGTGTGTGTTTGTGTAATATTAATATATAGTAATATCTATAAAAAATATTAATTAATCAGTTTTAACTTGTCTTGGCCTTCAATAAAACCAAAATTTAGGTAGGCTTTGTCATACTGTCTAATCTTTTTCTTTGCCTCTGAAGAATCACTGCATTTACATTTGTCTGCCATTTTTGTTTTGATTTTGCCTTTACGACACGTTGACAAGCAGATTGCGCGAGTGACCAAAATTAAAATAATTATTTAAAGTTATTTATTTTAATTATTTTCACTTTTATGTTGGAATTTTACGCATGTGTTTAGATTATTTTTTATTTTTTTGGTACTTAACCCTAACCCATACATATATAATAGTAATTTTGGGAAAAATCATAATCACGATTATTTTGGTCATAATTGTAATCACGATTATTCAAAACCATTGCCAGTTAAAGTCAAAATTATTAGCGCTCCTGAGATTTTTTTTTTTTTTTTTTTATAAATATTTCCCAAATTATGTTTAACAGAGCAAGGAATTTTAACAGTATTTCCTATAATATTTGTTTTATTTTAGCTAGAATAAAGACAGGTTTAAATATTTTGAAACCAATTTAAGGTCAATATTATTAGCCCCCTTAAGCATTATATATTTTTCATTGTCTGCAGAATAAACTAGCGTTATAATGACTTGCCTTATTACCCTAATTAAGCCTTTGAACTGCACTTTAATCTGAATGCTTGTATTTTGAAAAATATCTAGTAAAATATTATGTGCTGTCATTATAGCAAAGACAAAAAGAAATCAGTAATTAGAAATGAGTTATCAAAACTATTATGTTCAGAAATAAGTTAATAAAATATTCTTTCCATGAAACAGAAATTGGGCAGGAAAAGGTTTGCTAATATTCAAGAGGGCTAATAATTCTGACTTCAACTGTATACATACAGTTATTTTCCACCCTGCAAAGGAAAGAGAAGTAAATACAATATAATAAAAATATAAAACAAACTGTGTTTTAAGCATCTTCACTGTAAGAAAAACACTTTAGCTAAAGCAGTCCTTCAGTCAAGAGCAGCGAGGGTTTTCTCGTTATGTTTGTTTAATAATGTTAAAAACAGGCGGCAGAAGGATTATAGCGCACTGTCTTTTTAATGGTTTCTCTTTCACGTCTTTTGATTCTCAACTCGTTTGTTTATTACACAAATGAGGGTTAATGTAAATAATCACTAAACACCGCGTTTTGACACCTATTTGACCATTAAAGCGCTCACGTTAAGATGACTTTAGATGTCTGCGCTCCTCTGCTCGTCTCAGTGTGTGAATGAGAGTGAATGCTGACCGGCCGCATATGCTTCTGACTGCGTGATCGTGCTGCACACACACATAAGCTCCTTCGCGCTTTTAAGAGCAACACGTGTACAACTGTGGCGAAATATGATGCAATAATCATTTATCTCAATTAATGCTTTTTTATAATCTTTTGAAACCGAAATCTAAATCGGATTTTCGATTAATTGCAAAGCCCTTTATAATAGTGGACCATTTTTATGCCTTTTTCTACCTCAATACTTATCCTCTCCCGCGCCCCCCCTGTGAACTCTGGCGCCCCCCTTAGGGGGGCGCGGACCCCAGGTTGGGAACCACTGGAGTAGTGGATGTAGCTCACAGGCTGGGCAGACCTGTGCCTGGTCGAGCAAGAGCTATAATCATCCTTTTTTGCTCTGCGATGGATGCGAGATCAATCGAAAGAGGATACATCGGTCCATGCATTGCTGTGACCCCATGTGCTAGACCCTATTGTGCCTGTGCATGACCCAATCGTGACTGTGCATGTGCTGGACCCCGCTGTGTCTGTGCTGGATCCTACTGTGCCTGTGCTTGACCCAATTGTGATTGTGCATGTGCTGGAACCCACCGCCCCTGTACCTGTGCTGTACCCCACTGCTCCTAACCCCACCACTGCTTCAACGAAAAGAAAAAAAGGCAAATGTATTTCCAAAGTTTTTAAACGGTTGTGAATGTAAAACATTTTATCCCATATTGATTTACCAATCTAATCTTTTTTTAGAGTCAACAAAAAAAAAAAATATTAAAGACAAGAAACATAAAGGTAAAGTATATCTAAAGGCTAATATCTAGTACAGAAATATGATGTTTTGCTGGTATGTGTTAAAGGTGTAATAACATAATTGTAAAATGCTATGTATTTATTACTTTTGTAATGTACTCTTTTTTTTTTGTTTGTTTCATTTATAGCAGACAATTGTTCAGAATGCATGGAACGGCTGGAGAACAACAGCTTTCCATACCAGACGATATTGAAAAACAGATTGAAAGGAGTAAGTGATTTTGATAAATAATTTCCCAGTTTTGCTTGTTTAATATAATGTTTTACATTTTACACCTTTTTTAATTCTAGAGATTAAATTTGTTACTTTTATACTCATAGCATTAGTTTATTTATAGCATTTTATAGATTGTTTAAAAGCAACTTTTTGGTGATTAACAGGAAAATTATCATTCAATGAAACTTGTACTTAAAACATATAAAAAAGTATTCGGGATTGCTTAAAAAGGCACAAGGTGGAAAAATCTACCTTGGCCCTGACAAGTATAATTGCAGAGGTATGTATGACCACAGATGTTGTAATAATTTTAGTGTTGTTGCTAATTAGTTAAACAAATATTCTTAGAAAATTACAGCCTGATCTAAATATGTTCCAACTAGGCACCTTCCTTTAGGTGATGCATTTATATTTTTAGTTTTTTGTTAAGATTATTGAGTGATTCATCAGTGCAATCTTTTTTTTTCACCCTATCTATATCAGAGCATAAGCTAAATGCCAGAAAAAAAATTCTTTATTGCAATACAGTTCAAAAGCAGCATAAAATACAGCCTCTAGTTAAATAATTTTTTTAAATAGAAATACTGCATATTCACCTTCTTGAAGAGTTTAGATCCAACCCAACAAACCAAACTACTTTTAATCTGAAAGGGCTCTTGACAACTACTGATAGTAATTATCAGTTCAATGAGGGTTGCATAATCTGTTAGACTGACATTAATTGGTTTCTATTGCTGTACCTTTTTGAAATTCTACAAATTAAATTTCTGCACTTGTGATTATAGGTGGCAATTGCTTCGGAGGGAGAACAGTATCAAGTTCCAGCATATGTAAATGGTACAACACTCCAGTGCTATTCCAAAGAATTAAAACAGTTTCTTGTCTCCTGCCCCAGTCTTGAGACAAAGATCATCACAATGAAGAAGGAACACAAGCTGTTGCCCATGAAAAAACAAGTTCAGGTGTTGATCTTTCTTACTTTCTTTCTTTCAATTGAGTAAATAATTAAGCAGCTTTTTTCCCATCTGTTCAAGTGTTTATAATTATTGTGTGATAAAAGTTTGTAAGAAAGTTTATGAATTTGTTAATAAATGTTAATAATAAATAATTGTTATTGAAGTTGATGAAATTCATGTTTTTGCTTGTGCTTATTATGGTATGCACTTTTACAAGTACTTTGAACTTAAAACAGCTAATGCTGTTACAGCAAATTTAATTACTGTGTAACTAAAGGAAACAAGGCTTCACTTTATTTTACAACCCGCAGATGCTGTATTTACCCTGTAACTACAGGGAACAAGGAGGGAACAAGCTGGACTTCAATGCACAAGTGTATATTTGACCAGTAAGAACAGAAAACTACAGCTGCAGTTTTAATTGAATGAATGAAAAATTGCACACTACATTTTTCAATAAAACATCAGCTTTTCACTGAAATGTAACAGTTGGTCCCCCCATTCTGCAGACAGCAGTAAAAAAATGCAAGCCTGTTTTAATCGGCATTAAACCCTGACAGTATATCATGCAAAAGTATTTGTTGATAGTGTTGATGAGAAATTGCTGGTGTTGGTGAGATCGACGAGTAAGCTTTCACAAGGTAAGTGGTGTATGAAAATATATATTTGTTTTGAATTGCAGATTTAAAATACAAACAATATACAATTCGGGTTGTGAATCTTTTGTTTAGTAAACAACCCTTATAAAAACCCAAGCACTGAATAAGGGTACTATTAATAATGTACTTAACCAGGTGTTTGCAGGTTGCATTAGGTTGTGACCACCCTTGCATCGTTCTTTATATAATACTTAAAGAAAAGTACTCCGTAAATTCAATATACTTATGGGGTACTTTGCGTGTTGCACATCTGCTTGTTACCCCCTTATTACGTAAACATTACCCGTTTGTTCCTTTACACTTAATAGAAAAGTAAACTGTAAAATTAATTTACTTACACGGTACTTTGCGCGTTGCATGTCTGGTTCTTACCCCCATATTACCCAAGCATTGCATATCTGGTTGTTTCCCCCTTTATTACCCACACATTACCCATTTGTTCCTTTGCACTTTATAGAAAAGTACACTGTAAAATCAATATACTTACACTGTAATTTGCGTGTAGCATGTCTAGTTGTTACCCCCTTTATTACCCAAGCATTACAGTTTGTTCCATTATACCTACACGTACGTTCATTTTACTAATACCATACGTACACAAAAGTACACCGTTATTTCACTGTACTTACGGGGTACTTTGCGGGCTGTAAAAGTAAGCGTTACCGAAAAAACATATGAAGAGTTTAGTTACAAAACGAGATATATCCATTTTTAAAAATGTTGGTTATTTGACATTATTATTTAAGACAGTGGTCACCAAACTTGTTCCTGGAGGACCGGTGTCCTGCAGATTTTAGCTCCAACCCTAATCAAACACACCTGAACAAGCTAATCAAGATCTTGCTAGGTTTACTTCAAACACCCAGGCAGGTGTGTTGTGGCAAGTTGGAGCTAAACCCTGCAGGGACACTGGCCCTCCAGGAGCAAGATTGGTGACCCCTGATTTAAGACATCAACAGTCAAGTTTATTCACAATTCTTGTACATAAAACTATTACTTGAGCTCAGTGAACACAATATTTTCAAATCCAGGATATTTTTTATTTAGTTTTATGTCCATAAACAGTTCATAAATAAGTCAAAAACCATGCCAAAATGCAATATATTTATCTTAACATTGTCAAACATCTTAAATTAATAAAAAAATATATATATACACATCATAAATATATAAAAAAATCTATACAAAAATTGATAAGATAATAATAAGATTCTGAGTTACTTTTGGCCAGAATGTGCATAACATAACAACATTTTTATTTTTTTGCAAAACGCTATATATCCACCTTATGCTATATTCTAAAAAAAAAAGATTAAGTTATGTAAGTTAAGTTAAATAATCAACTTGTAGCTTGTTACAGAAAGAGTGGAGGGTGGCTCCATGTGTGTGATTGTAGCCTAAACTGCGGTCACACTAGAGTTTGTGTGTGCGAAATTCTGTTGTGCGGCGAAGCGAAAAGGGGCGGGATTAAACTAGATGATTAGACATTTAAAAAGTGAGCGATAGCTTAATGTTTTAAATTTCTGTCTAGAGAGGTCATGTTTTGATCCTCGATCAGTCTCACACAGTCAAGTGATGCAATTTCGCAGGTCAAAGTTCACAAAGCTGACGCATTCGCATGCGTATGAATGGAAATCTAGTCACACTGGAAAGCCCAGTGTGACCGCAGCTTAAGGCTTCATATTACATCAAGAATACATAGAATAAATGCACATCAGGTGTACTCAGATGCTTATAATCCACTGATAACACTGAGAAGTAACTTCCCTGATGAGCACGGTATAGGATAATTTGCAAGTTACCACAGCACATCATGGATCCTAATTTCCTAGCTGAGCTTAGGGCCTACCTTCTTTTGGGTGAATACCCCCAAAACTGCTGATAAACACCAGCGATATTGCATAATTTGTCAGGGTTCTGCCACTTTGGTCTTGTAAAGTCTTGTTTTGGTGGCAGAGCTCTGACACTACTCCACGTCTGGTCCTGTTTCTGTCTCTGTGTGCGCGCGCCGTCGTGGGTGTACGCAGAGTGTGCGCGCTGCCACTTGATGTGGCCGCGCACGCTCTGCGTCCCTCAGACACGCGCGCTCTTGTACTAGTGTTTGTGTTTGTTCTGTCAGCAGCGCGCTGCTTTATTCTCGGCGCCTCCGTCTAGTTGGTTTCAGTTTTGGTTGGCGCTGAGATGAAGCATGCGCGTTGCTTATGTGTGAGCGCACGGTAAGGTATTTATCTATCGTGTGCTCGTGTCTTGCGTCTCTTGTCAAAGCACGTGGCTTGGTGTTTACATTGTGGTCACGTGCTTTTGTCGTGTGCTTCAGTGTTGCGTTATGTGAGCGCATGGCTTGTATTGTCTCTCTGTGTCATGCGCTCTCCCGTCTATTGTCTTGTCCCACCCACCTTGTTACCTTGTTTGTAATTATTATTTTCACCTGTCCGCCTGTCTGTTTATTGGTTTGTCTTTCCTATTTATTCTCCTAGTGTGCTCTGTTCCGTGCTGGTCCGTTATTGATTGTTCCCTTCCCTGTTGCTGATTTCTTTTCTACAACAGCGGTTTAAAGTATTGTCTTGAAAAGTTCCAGATCTTGTCTAGTTGAGTGTGTAATATGTTGTGTTTTTCCCCACATGGGGAGATTTGAGTTTTGTTTTTGTTTTATTTTTCATTAAACTCTTCATTCCCTGCATTTGGGTCCTCGCCTCCTCTCCATCCACCCCCACATATCGTGACAGAACGGACCAGCCACAATGAGGACCCAGCGGAATGAAGATGGCTCCTTCGCTAGCCGCATTTCTAAGTTGCTGCATTTGCAGTCGCTGAAGCAATGTGGCTTGAATTTGGAGGAGTTTGC